TTGCTCCCCTCCCCCCTAATCTCTCCCCCTTGGCTAGCCCTGCCACTCAGCCCCGCTCTGTCGCTGTGCCAGATCCCATCACACGCTTGCTGCCTGGTGCCTCCCAGACACTGCAAAATGGATCTTGAGCACATTACAAGCAAACATCAGAGCCCAAGCACTGACAGTTCTCTGCTCCAGCAAGATGTGGGGTGCAGCACCACGAGAGCAGAGGCAGTGAGGAGCTAAGGATAGGCAGTACCTGAAGCGAGGATGACCCGAAGGCCATTTGAACTGGTGTTTCTTCCTGAGATGGACAGTGAGGTTGTTTCCACGTGTGAAGCACTTGTCACAGACATGGCACTTGTACCGTGGCTCTGAGTCACCCTGAAGTGCAGAAGAGAGGGATGTAAATACCCAAAGAGCCTGATCAGAGGGCCTGGTACCCACACACGTGCATGGAAGGAGGAATGAGGTTCTCTGACAAGACTGACGTGACATATCCTTGCAGCACTAAGAGGGGAACGCAACCCGACCTCACGTTCCTACAGCCTTGCTCAGCCTAGGGCACTTCATATGACTTTTTTTTCTCCTGCTTCCATACAACATGTTGCACTTAACAGTTCTCAGCCTCATCAGGAAAGAGCACACAGCAGAATAGCCCTCTGCTTCCTTCCCACCTCATGGACTTTCCGGTAGTGCAGTTTGATGGAGCAGAGGGAACGTGCTGTAAAGCTGCAAGTCTCAAAATCGCAGTGATAGGCTGGCTCTTTGCTGTGCGTGTCCAGATGTTTCCTCAAGTCAAAGAGGTTCTTGCAGCTAAAAGGAAATGACAAGGGTACAAAGCTGAATGTCGAGTAGCGCACAAACACACGTGCCTCTGGGTGCTTCTCCATCACCAGTCTGGGAAGACGGAAAGCCCTGGTGCTCACCTGTAGTCACAGTTGTCACACTTGAACGGCCGCTCCTCGCTGTGCCGAAAACGAATGTGATTGCGCAGGGAGGAGGGCAGCGGGCAGGTCATGTCACACAGAGGGCACTTGTAATGGTTCACTGCGCAAAAGAATGATGACAAATATTGCCACAAAACAGGTGAGAGCACACGCTCTTCAGAGCCTTTTGGGAGCAGGGGCCTTTACTCACCATGGTTCCTCATATGGTCACGGAGCAGCCTCTCTGTGGCAAACCTCTTGGAGCAGTGAGAACACTGAAACCTCTGCTCTGCAGCGTTGGGGCCAGGGAGACAGGGGAGGGGACGGTGAGAAAAGAGTTCAAAGCAGAGAGAAACACAAAGAGCAGCAAGTCAGAAAAAGAGGTAGCTTGAAACGCTTCTCTCCAGGTAGAGATAACAGATACTAACTACAAAGCCAAATAAAACCCAAAACCCACTTGCCAAGGCCAATCTGTCTCCACTCTGCAGAGTCTCCTTGTGCTGCCAGTGCACGAACTGGGAAGCAACGATCTACACACACCCCCACACCACCCCCCAGCCCCACACCATCAGAACAGCAACAATCAAATCCCAGTGCTGCTGCAAGTGCCCAGCCTTTGACTTCAGTCCTGGGTCTCTACAGCAGGAACAGCTCTGGCTGCAGTACTGTGAGCCCTGTGCAGCCTCCAATCCTCCTGCCTCTGCAAGCAGACATTTCTCAGAGGTTCGTCAGCGTCTGAGTTCTCAGTCATCAGCCAGGCTGTTTCTGAGCAAACCCATGCTCTCTGCTTGCAGAGAACAGGCAGCTCTAGAAAACTAAACAGCGCAGCCAGAGGACTGCTCACAACCCACTCCTCTCCTGCCCGCAGGAGCTTACGGTCCAGTGCAGTCTGACGGCGGATATGGTCAAAGAACTTGGTGTTGTTGGCAAACATCCCCCCACAAGTAGGACAGGCCACCACCTTCTCCTGCGTGTGGCTGCGCAAGTGCTCCCGCAGTTTGCAGCGTCCCTTGAAAGTGCAATCACAGTCTGAACAGAAACAACAGAACGTCATTAAGGTCCTTCACACACGGGCCACAATCCAAAACCTGACGGAACGGTGGGCTTCTTACTTGTTTTGACTAGCAAGGATCAAGTCCCTGCTTCAAAAAGCCAACAGAGAAGGGTCACACCAGGATGAGATCACTAGTGTTCAACTGGTGCACCCTCCCTTTTCCATGCACATACAAGCAGCTAAGGCAACTGCATGAACACAGGAGAGAGACATTACTGAAAAACATAAACTGGAGCCTCTTTTTCTAGGTAGTAATTAAATATAAATGAAAAACTCAGTATTAGGCACTCATCGGGATTCCCTGAAGGAATTTCTACATCGTTAGGACCACACACGTACATTTTTTAAGGTCGAGAGGCTCTCTGAAACCCCGCCAATGAGCGCACAGTTCTCCTGTACAACATTTGCAATCCAGCCCTGTGCAAAGCTCTCTAGAGAGGGCTTGCACGCAGCCACTAACCTTTCCAGCCACAGACAACCACGTGGTTCTCCTTCCCTGCTGCCTTGTACTCCGAACAGAAGCTGTGATCCTCCACATGCCGATAGAACCACTCAGGATTATCAAATGATCTCTGCTGGGGAGCAAGGATGGACAGAATAGTGTGTAGAGATCAGCACAAGCTAGAGCACAACAGATACTTCCATGCAGTTACAAACACGGGCAACAGGCAGGCATGAGGGTGAGCTGCAGGACAAAAGCAGCTCTCCTTCCCTCGGCTCCCCCATCGCACAGGGAAGTGAGGCTGAGTCCCCTGTTCTCACCTCACAGTACTCCCATAGACACAGAAAGTTCTCCTGGATCTCAGGGATGATATTGCGGCTCTGGAAGTCCAGCTGGCAATGGCTCACATCCGACTGGCTCTGCAGGGCCTGCAGCCCCCACTGCTTGAGCTTGGTGTGGTAGCAGTGAAAATAGACGTGGCGAATGA